AGATGGACTTACCCGAGACTTCTCTTCTAAACGGGTCATCATCACAACCGTTGCCGTCCTCTGTTCCCATACCATCCTCCAGAAATCCCCAAATGTTTCCGGTAACGGACCCTGGGTGGCGATGTAAGCGTTCTGTTTCCTGTAGCCATCGATGTAGTTGGCATTGATGTAGTCGCTACCAGTTATGCCTAGATGAAAAAAGAGACGGCAAAGAGATAAAAAAACCTAAAGTGGTGCCTAATTTCCAAGCTCAATTTACTCCCCTTCCTTTGCTCCTTATTAGCACTGCTTGTTTTCTGTCATCTGCCACAACTTCCAGTATTCACATACAGTGACAGCTACCAAGCCAATTAAAACATGTGTGAAAGCATGAAATAACTGACTTGAGAGAAAAAACAAACAAACAAAAGCAATCAAGATAGGTTTAAAAAAAATAATAATCTTTTAAAATACATGAAGCCAGACTCATAACCTCTCGAAATGCTACATGAGAAAAATGTTTTTCAATTTTCATAATTGAAAACCCCATAATTTATATTTTTCCAATATTTGTATAACCTGTGAACTGTTTTATTTTTCTATGTGGGTTTATTTAGAAATCTTAATCAGATTTAATGCTAAAGAATAAGACCTGATAACATCCATTTCACCATGCATAATCAATGCAGACACATTATTAGAAAGCCTTCTGCATTGTTTCTGATAAAGATGAGTAATGTTTCAATAATTAAGACTGCATGCTTGTCACATTATGTAAAATCTTGTAAAATTACATGCTACTACCCTGAAAATAACCATAATCTTTTTTGCAGGATCCTTAGAAGTGTTTATTCAATTTGCAAAAGGTTTCAACCAAGACAAGATAATCTAGTAAGAGCTTTTCAACACCAACAATAATAAGACCTAAAGCCACCACTATTTATTTAGCTAACTGCTACATTGCTTCGGTTTGCTATGAGACTCCAGCATCAGTATCGGGGAGTCACGTCTCTTTTGCTGACGTCTCCACGCTCAAGCAGCAAACAATAAAACACTTGACTGGGCTAATTTAAGAGATGAGACGTGCCGAGGACAAAAACCAGAGGGGAGAGGAGGATAAAAAAGGATAAAAAGAAAGTTATAAAGAAAGAAAAAGGGGAAAAAAAATGCAATTAAAAGAGGACACCACGTTGTAAAATGTGACTGTGCAGCCTTGGCTTTAGTCATAGCTAGGCGGACAGAGAATGGAGGCTTGCATGGATTGTTCTGCTGCTGCAACTAATAGCAAAATCACTGCAGTGTAAAATAGAAATTTCAGACTTGATTAATTTATGTATTTATGGATGAGGCATTCTTCTTCTCTCGGTTAATTTTGCTACGCATGCTGTTGCACTGTCAAATTGGCCCGACTACTCCATGATATTGAAATCAAGTCTAAGCAGCTAGCTAAATAAAAGGAAAAAAAAAAGAATCTGGAATTTGGCTTTGATGTGAACAATTGGGTGGTTCCCCGGTGATGCAGAGCTAGAAAGCCGTCATCAGTGAAGGGATAGTATTGCTGACAATGGCCCTTAATGGCCATGATTTAGGAGTCAGAGGGAGAGACTCTGACTCTAAGGCCCCGTCCACACGAAGACGAACCCTGGCCTAAACGCACAAATTTTTCACCAAACCAGCCTCTCATCCACACGAAGCCGGCGTTTCGGGGGTCTGTAAACGATCATTTTTTTATTCAGCCTTCAGAGTGGGAAGATTCTGAAACGCCGTTTTCGCGTTTCCATCTTTACGCCCTAACCGCATATTTTTTTTTACACGCATGCGTCATAGCGTCGCCTCTACACACGCATGCGCGACCAGTATCACAACAACAATGGCGCCATTGCTAATGCTACTCACCCTGCTGTCGGGCTTACAACAGAATCTTCTTCTTCTGGAATATCTCCAGGAAGAACAGAGCAATATCGACGACATAGTTCAGCACCTGAATTTCACTTAACCACGAAAATGGACCCGCAGGGCAACCATGTATAAATATTAGTGCACATGCCCAACATTTCGTCGCTTATTTTTGCTTTGGCACCACAGCGCCACTTACAGGCCTGGCATACATTTTGCAGCGTTTTCATGCATTCGTGTGGACGCTCTCATTTATTTTACGTCTCCGTCTTTACGGCAAACGTTTTGGAAAATATCAGCGTTTCGTGTTCGTTTTGACTTCGTGTGGACGGGGCCTAAGACTAAAAAAAAAAAACTATGACCATTTAGGGGGAAGTCATGAATAGTGGGTTGATCTGATGAGACGAATTGGATGTTGCAAACACGGTGTTAAGTCTTGGATCCGTTTGAGAGTGAGAAAAGAGTGCTGTGCAAAGTGATGAGGCGAAACAAGTCTTTGTAATTTGCTTACATGAAACGCTTAACTGCAACAGAGCAAGACGAGCTAAACTAAGTCTTGAGTTTAGAGTTGGTTCCAATTATGTCTTGAACACATTAACACAATCTTATCACACTTTATGTTTGTTCCTCTACGAGCTACATTAGTAAAACTATATAATAAATGTGTTCTTTAATACTATTTTATTAGACAATGACTGCATCTCGCATCTGATTTGTAACTGATTAAACAGATTCAGCCTGAAGGATCAATTTTTATATTGAAGCAAAAAATCCATTAAAAAAATCCTGTTATGTTATTTATGACTTTGTCAATCACAAGTATGTTAAAATCAATCAATCAATCAATTTACCAACCAATCAATCAGTTCGATACATTTTGTTAATATAGCACCAGTTCACAAAACAATCATAAAAAGTTATTATTATAGTTTAAGTTATAGTTTAAGTTATATTTTATTAAGAATTTCTAAACTAAACGCAAACAACTTTACAGAAAAGAACACATACGATTAGGACCACTTAGTTATTGCTCATACTTCATACTAATTTTCTGCAATCTGATCTGCAGAGATTTTGGAGTAATGCATTAGTGCATTAGCTGATCTAAAAAAACAGCTGCTATTCTTTGAAAAATACTTTCTTTTTTGAGTTTTTATGACACTAGTGGCGCCCTTTTTATGGACAGTAGGCTCACAGGAAGGGCGTATAAAAGGGGGGAGAGACATGCGGGAAAGGACCACAGGCTAGATTCAAACATGCGTCGCCCGCGTCGAGGACTAAGGCCTCCATACATGGGCTGTGTGCACTAACCACTGCGCCACCAAATCGCACCCTATTTAATGTCACGGTGTTGAACGATACCAACTACATTTCAATTCCTCTGCACTTACAGGGGGAATTGACAAAAACATTCTTGATTTTAGGCGACCTCTAAAGCCAAGTTCTTTCACATAATTTTTTTGCAGGTAGCAAACAAACTGGGACAGAATGTATACGACGGGAATGTTGGGTTATTTTGGCAAAATATATATTTTTAGTCGGTTTATTAGATACGACAAAATAGGCTATGTGTCGTCTAATTTTGGGGAGAAATGTTAAATAATAAGTGCTATAATACTATAATAATAAGTGTATAGGTGCTCCTCTAAAACGATGGTGAATCAAGGGTGTGCAGGCAAGCATTACCTTCAATAGGAGCCAAGATGACTCGGGAGTGGTCGTAGGCGATGACGTTGGCGTAACGATTTTTGGGCTTGTTCACCTCCAGATTGGAATGCTCCCAGGTGAACTGCTGGCCCGGATCAATAGACTGATAGGAGGCAGACATAGCCGAAACATGGAGACATAAAAAAAGTAATCAGAGAAGCTGTGAGAGGCTCTGAGTTATAACAATACAGCTGCGGTGCTGCAAAGAAGAAAGAGACATTGAGGAGGCTCTTCACTTAAAGAAAAACACCCTGCTATGAGGAACATCTGCTTTCTACCTGGAATACAGCAGCTGCTAAAGTGCTATGTGTACAGTGAGAAACAACTGTATAGATCAGAAAAAAGCCAGACAATATTTGAAATACCAAATCAGTTAAGGTGTGTGAATTGCACAAAATCACAAAAAATATTTATGAACCATCAAAATGGTTTCGTTAGTTATCTGCTGGTTTGGAAAGTTTTGTGTAGAGATGGAGGCTTGAATCATAATTGCAGCTATTCGGTTGTAGTTTTTACACAACACATTTACCACAAAAATATATTTCTTGGCAGGCATGTTTTAGTCCATTTGGTGACAATATGTGATTTCATGTGATGAAACTTGCTGGTATATAGATTCTATTATGTGCCACATTATCTATACTGGGTTTGACTATTAGTCACTAATGACATTAAAGCCAGCATCTAATTTGTGGTTTTCTTTAAGCAGTGTCAACATTTGGAGGAAATATGAATTGCATTGATACATCTAAGCTAAAATTGAACACATTTTGAGATATTTATTTTCAGGCATTAGTCAGGAATAATTGTCGCATGCCCCTCTCTCTGCTTCCTCAATCAAAAAGGATGGCTCAAACTAGCTATCTTATTCTCTAAACAGAGTAAGTTAACAACAGTTCACTCTCTGATATAAAACTTCTAACATGTCCAGAGTTGCTCTTTTTAAGGCACCATCTGTTGTAACTTCCCAGATTTATTTCTAGGGATTCCCCTTTCTCAGTGTACTTCTCAGGTAGTGTGGATATAACTTCTCCTCACTTTGACTGCTTTAAGTTAAACACATACATGTTGTTAATATTTAAACTTACTATAATTCAAGCTTAAAATTACATAACCTTGTTATATGCAAAAACGGATTGTCCAATTGAATAATTTCATTACATACATGAACTTGTTATAATTACCTGAGAGTAATTTCATTTTTTTAACACATAATCATTAAATAACTTTTAAGTGTTTTGTTTTTCCAAAAAGGCAAGAGAAAATAATTAATAAACGGAGACAGAGCTTATCTCTTTCCCCTTCAAAAAACTTTGAACTAAGTTAACCTCAACAAAAATCAATGTTGTGATTTCCATTCTATACTTTTATTATTACTTTTGAAATTTTTAATTGATTTTACAGAGAGCAGATAACTTTCTGTATTTAATGGGAGAGTAAAAACATAAAACACAGAATTAATTTTTTTTAATCATTTAATTTGTCTGTAAAAAACAAGCAAATAATACTGCAGATTTTTTTTTTTTTAGAAATCTAAGGAATGTACAACTCTGTGCAACTATTATGGAAATTATGTATTTTTTTTTTGGACTATTCATGACTTTCATCATCTTTTGTTATCTCACAAGAATTTTCTTTTCTACTTATTCTATTTTTTATACAACCTGCAATGTTTCTATCCTTTGCATAATATTTCCAATTTACACATGATTTTCCTGACAATTTCAAGCTTATCTCTTTGAATAAATCTGATGTCCCATATTATGCTAGATTGAAAATAAAAACATTAACAATGAGGCCCTCAGAGCATGGTTTTGGCGTTTGTGCAGTAAAATTAATCTCAGATGAAGCAGGCAGCCTTTACCAAAAATCTCCTTATTCAGCCCTCTTCTAAATTAGCTGTTTTGGCTTTCAACGCCCCGATCCTCCCAAAGGCCACACCTCCACAACCCACAACCATGACAACCAGTCAGAGTTTGCAAAGATAGCGGTTAGGAGTGTGGAATAATCCATTAAATAAAGGCCGGAGCTTGAGCAATGGACTGCTACGGGCCGCTCTGGACAGTGTATTTCCCCTTATGACATCATCAGGGGAATGCTTTTGCAAAAGAGCATTATGAGCAAAAATTAGATAAGAACTAGAGAGACGCAGTAAAAGAGGTGAAAGGGATTTCTTTAATTTGTGAACCTCATATACAGGCTTGATGAGACATATGCCTGTTGCAAAAGTTTATAACGCATAATATGGGACCTTTACAGAGTCAAGTAAACAAATTATGTACATGCGCAGAAGTGCCAGAAATGGATTAAATTAAATCAGTCTACTAATTCTGGCAATAAAACTAGAATTTCTCTGCCTTCTTCATAATTTGTTATGAAGTGCCTATAAATGAACAGCAGTCCCTGCCAAGAAGAAAAGTCTTGCTTTGCATACTGTAGCTTCTGAGAGTATCCTAAGCATCTTCAGGTGAAAGCATTGTTGTCTTTTCATCGCTGCTCCTGCTTCAGATGATCTCCTCCTTATCTCTACTCCCCCACTGTGATTCTTTGCTCTGCCTCCTCGCAGTGAATCTTTATCATTAACCAAACCTTTCCACCTCATTTCTCTCTCTCTCTTTTTTTTCGCTTCATCCCCCTTTCTCTTACATACTGCCTGGCTAAAAAACCAATCAGTCAAAGCCCCTACAGAGCTGTGCTTGGCAAGCTGGGGTGCCAGGAAGAACAGCCATTCATCAAGAAAATAACTAAATTAAAATTACACTTCTCTATTTAATTTGGTCATTTATTTTTCCTGAGGTGGGGGGGGTGTTTGAGGACGGGAAGGCAGACAGTGAGAGAGGGGAAAAAGGACAGAGATGAGCTAGTGTCTGGAGGCTGTCTCTCAAAGCATGGTAATTAGAACTTCTAGCATCGACTCTACCACTTTTTTCTTTTCGTTTTTTTCCTCACCAATGAAAGAAGCAAACTCATCCCGTTTGGTATACAGTCCAAATGCTGGGCTCTTGAATAATAGATACCCAAGAAATGCTGGACTGCTATGAGAAGTCATTATCCACCAACATCCACCAGCAGGCATGATGACGACAATCTATGCCTCCGTACCGGCTTTATACTTTAAGCTGGCGGGCAACAAGGCGTCAGGCTCTGTGATTTAGGGATGGTGAGCAGAGAATATTGCTTGTATGCAAACGAGAGCTGATTCAGCGCTCCTGATTTCTAATCAACTCTGGTGTCATTTATAACCGTGGCCGACTCAGAGCTCAGACAGCTCAGTTATACACTCTGTACACACACTACACACAGACACAGGCCTTCAGAAACGAACCAAGGCTGGCTGCCTGTGCAGAGCTCTGGATAGGAATATAGACTAAATCTCTATTGTAGAAGAAAGCAAATCTTTAGTCCAAGTTCATTGGCGTGTGTAAAAGATGTCAATATTAGTGCTGTGGGTGAATAAAAATATTTATTTTTCCATTTCCATAATGTATTCTAGTAGAACTAATGATCCTATTCAGTAAAGAATTGGAGTTTGGCAGCTAAAAAATGCTTCAACAAGCTAACGCAGACTTAAATGATTGATCTCAATAATTATCCTGCTGAAATATGAAAAAAAAAACAGACAGGGAAAAAATATGCACCACTGATTGCTTTAGGAATCTCAAGTGCCAGCTGGCGGAATTTAGTTGTCCAGCAAAACTAAGACATCTACAAAAGAAACCTTGTTTTTTACATCGCAACAAAAACAACTCTTTTGTCCAGTTCCAGTGAAAACACAATCAGACAGGAATCAATACTCCAGCAAATTTGAACCTCAGGCCGCGCTCACCTCATATTCCTGGGAGAGCTTGAGGTTGTCATTAGCTTTGAGAAGTTCGGTGTGCTCGGCCAGCTCAGAGATGGGGATCGGAGGATGATTCATCATACCTGTTCGCCAAGAAAATAGACACAGGAATTCCATGTGGGAGAGGAAAAAAAAAAAAAAAGGTCCATTAGTAAAGAAGACGGGCTGAAGGTTCAAAAGTTTGAAAACGCAAGCTTTAATAGGTGAGAATATATTGCCTGTGCAACAATGATGGACTTGCTTTTAGTGATGGGGAAGCTTGACAAAGGCAGTGAACCAATAAATAAATAAATAGTGATGTAATAGTTACCAGGCCAGAGCTCAAAGATAGTCGTTTTTCAATTGACACTGAACGATTTTTTTCTTACCGAAAGGATGTAGCAACAGAAAGCTATAAAGCAAATGGGATTTCTTCATTATTCAAGAAGCTGATGGATGTTGGAGCCAAACGAGAGTTGCTGGCCTCAACAATCAATGGCATTACCAATTCAACTAGCCTAGGGCATTAGATTTAATGCCACAAGATTAAAAATACATGTATATTTGTGGAAAGATCAAAATTTAAATAAATGTTGAGTCCTATTTTATTTTCTTAATAAAAAGAAGTACTTTGCACTACGCCTGTAGAGAAATGAAATGGGTAACATGTTCAATATTCTTCAAACAAACAAGAAGAGTAATTTAAACAGTTATTTTAATCAGTAATTTTAATCAGGAAAGAATAAATATCAATGTTTTTTGTTTTTAGGCCCCAATAAAATAAACAACTTAAATAATTAGCACCTTGTGTACTTCCCTCTATGCCAGCAATTTAATTCTTTACAGTCATACTCGTGACATTTGACAGAGTCTAACTGGCAGTCTTCTCTCCAAAAGGATGTTTTTTTGCTTTTACAGTAACTAAACAATTCAATTCAATCTATTTATATAGCACCAATTAACAACACGTCATCTCAAGGCACTTTACAATTCAACCAGATCATACAGTCAAATTGATACAAAGTTGTCTATCTAAGGAAAACTAGTTGATTGCATCGACTCATTGTCTCCAAGGCCATACCTCACACCAAGCATAGTTGTAGTGACAGTGGAGAGGAACAACTCCCTTTTAACAGGAAGAAGCCTCCAACAGAACCAGACTCGGTGTGAGCGGCCATCTGCCAAGGCCGACTGGGGTTCAAGAAGACAGATGCAGAGATACAGAAAAAAGCAGAGATACAAAAGGCAACTATCAACCTGGATTTTTTTTTCTGTATATATTTCGAGTGTATAGAAGCAAAAAGTGTTCCTTTTTAATAAAATTATAAAAGCACCTTTAAAATGTATTTAAACCAATTAGGAAAAAATTATTTAAAGAAAAAAAATATATATTTTTTAGGGGATATTTTCTATTACATTTTATTGGATTATATACAACCCAAAATTTCTCAAAGAACATCTGCAATTGGTTCATTGAGCAGTATAGTGAAAAAATAGGGGTATTGTTTGACAATGTGGTTTATCAATACAACAAAATACATCAAGGTAAAATTAAGTACCACAATTATTTAATTGGAACCTTTTCTTACCCTAACTCAAAATACTATTGCCACTTTATGGTTAGCAGTATCTTTTATATGTTTACTTTTACCAATACCTGAATAGAAAGGTTCAAAATTGTACTCAAGCCCTGACCTGGGGGGTGTTTATGGTGAAGGAGGTGAAGCGGGATCAGGAAGTTAAGGAGTGGGAGTGAAGCTGAATGACACAGTGAGCTGCTCCATTTCAGACTCGAGTAAAACAAGCAAAAAAAAAACCCCCAAAAAAAAAAAGCAAAGAAAAATACCCCCTGCTCCATCTTCTCTCAAACCAATGCACAACACTGCCAAGATAAATAGCTTGGCCTTGCAGGATAGCAAACATTCTCGGTTGCATTTTCCATCTAGGCTTCCTAAAAATTCAAATGTGATCTCTCCAAAGAACAATCCTTCTACAAACATAAGGAAATTGTCATGTTTGTCAGTGCAATTTTTTTTTTTTTTTTTTTGCCATGTTGCTCCTATCATCAGAGCTGCTGCACAGACCGGTTACCAATCTGCTTAAAAGCATAAAGCTGAAGTCATGTTATAAAGTATGGGGAAAAAAAGCACACTGTGTAGCTCTGTCTTTGCATGTTTCCTGGAAACACTTATCATTTTTGTATTTCTAATAAGAGGTCTCTTATTCTGCTGAACATTGAGGTCAAAAGTCAACAACATCATGAACTCTCTGTGCAGAAAAGTTAGTCAGGGTTAATTGGGCATGTAAATTGGCATAATCACATTAAGCAGCCTTAATTTTCCCTTTCAAAGAGTTCCCCAATGTCACAGAGGTCGCTCATGTTTTGGTTGCTTTTGTTGTGCTTAAGAAGGGGCTCGACTCTCTTCACTGACAGTTTTCATTAGTAACGGCACTTTGATTTACATTGAGAGAACAATGAGGCAATAAATTACATGAGGATTACCACGCATATGTGAAACAAACGGGCATGACACTCAAATGAATGTAGTGGCATCCTACCTACATTGAGACTATTGTAGATGAAAACCAAGGCACACATGCCCAGAAGACGAAATGTTTTTTATTTATTTTATTTTTCTTTCAATAAAACGAGAAGGAAACAAAAGAGGTTTTTTTTTTTTAATTTTTAAATAAAAAAATATATATTTCAATAAATTATGTATTACTAGTGAAAAATTAAGATATGCATCAAGAAAAGAGCTAATTTTACTTCCTGCATATTAGTTAGCCATATTACTGACAGGAGGTAAACTGCAAGAGAAATAAGTAGACGTAAATGCAAATGAAGAGGCCCTATTTCTCCATGAGAGAGGAAGGAGATCAAAGAGTGTTGGTGTTGAATTTGGGCATGTGTGGCTCTGTTTACAGAGGTTCCAGATATAATTAAAGTTAGGTTTTACTCTGTTTACTGCTAAAATTACTGCTTGCATACCATTAAACTATGATGCACGGCTACAGGGAGGGGCAGGTAGTATGTTTTAAGACATTTTGTATTTAATGTGGATTTGCTGTGGGAATGAAAAGACCCAGTTAGAGATAAAATAGACTAAGGGTGTGAAAACTATTCTATGTTTTGTGTCAAACTAGGGGAGAACTGTGTAAAAAAATGACAGAGACTGTAAAATGGTTAAATTCACCAAAATATCAAATGAGATGCACAACAGATATAAAAGTGTTACAAATCTTTAAACTTTAACTTCAAATGTATCTTCTTCAGCTTTGATTATTGAATGGCATGTCAAATTTTGGTTCTTCTTTTTGGTTTTCTCTCTTATTACAACCACTAAACAGCATACAACTTAAAGCACTTCTAAAGTCTAGACAAATGTGATAAAAATTATGATATTTGCTTGAATGAATAAATAAAATAAATAAATATGAATAAAGAGGACAAGTCTTTTAACTTAATTTCCTAATTTCCTCATTGAAAGAACATTATTTTTACTTTGATGTGTTATAGTCCCTAAAGCCCCCCCCCAAAAAAAAATAAAATAAATAAATAAATAAATCAAAGAAAGCAAATCAGTACAAGGTGCATATCTAAGTTTTTCTTGATAAAAGCTCAAACTAATACCAAAATCAAGACAAATTAACAAAAATCCCATTACATATTAGCTGAATATTTTAAGCCATTTATAAAACAGTATAACAAATTTATATTTACACTTGCTTTTTTAACATACTAAAGCAGAGCCAAGTCACTCGATGACAGAAATATTAAGCTAATATCCTTTAGTTTAAGCCTTTCCTGGCCCAGAGTGGCCTGTGTGTTTCACAGCAGTCTAAACACGACCAGCGGAGACAGAATAAAAACAAACTAGCTCCCAATTACACATTTGCAGATTTGCAGCCAATGTGGCTGAGAAATAAAATGATTCCTTTTGATAAGCCAAGCCAAAGGCCTTTTTATGATGTTGCATATTTCCATATAAAAAGGGAAGAAGTCTGCTGGTAAGCAACGAAAAAAAAAATGGGGGGAAAATGAGAGGAAAGTCTTTCTCTCGGATGATTCTTTTCAGCAAGAGGGGGGTGATCAAATGTCGAGCCATTGTTTGGAACTGCTTTAATTAATTCTACTCGTTATCTCATAGCGCAGAAAAGACCCCGTTTTGGTTGGGAATGGAAATGGAGCAGTGCTGGTAAAGGATGAGGAGGAGGGGGAACAACAAGGAGTTGTGAAAGACAAAGAGGAATTACACAGATTGTGTTCTTTTTTACAAAAAACAAATCTTTAAAGCATCTATATATTAGCAGAAGAGATTGCACAGGTTATATATGCATTGTGGATTAATGCATTGCCATTGGCCATCATGGATCGTGTAACTGGCATCCAATTAAAGAATAACCTCAGTGTAGTGATAGAAAACAAAATAATTATTGGCTGAGATTTGTGGTATTGTGGAAAGAAAATGTGCTTTATGTATTTTTGAAGAGAAGCAAATCTAGAAAAGCAGCACAGAAAAAAAGGTCAAACATATATTTAAAAGAAGCTGGCACAGAAAACTAACTTTCATAGACAAAACCTGCTTCACTCTGAGGACTGCTTAGACCAGAATCTGAAAAGGACAATAAACATAGGAGACAGTGTGTTCAAGGAGCTTTACTGCAACACAAGATGCAAAATGAAAACGTAAAACATGTAAAGCAATGCACAAAAGTAATGTAGCAGTTTTTGTTCTTCGAACAAACAGTCTAACCTCAGTTAGCTCATTTCTTTAGGAGATTCTGCATTATGGGTTATAAACATTTGGACAATAGAATAAAATAAGGCTTCTAATACTACTAGGAGCTCACAAAGAACCTTACAGAAGTATAGCACCATTTACACTTCCCTTTTGAAGCCATGCCGAGAATGGTTCCAGCAAGGTAACCAAGATAACTGTTGAGTGTAAATGGAACGCAACTGAACTGAACAACCAAAGCACGCTAAATCTAGTACTAGTTCAACAGTAATGCTCGGCATGGTTCACTTGTGGCTCGGTTCTCTGATAACAGAGAGCGCATGAAAAGACGTTTTCTCCTATTTACAGTCCGCTGACTCATT